CCCCCCCCCCGTGAAGTATTTTCTTAAACACCGCTATGCTAATTTTTTCACACGTTGCTGTAAAAAAAAAATTAGCATGCTTATGAAAATACCTCCCAGAGGGAGGGCGTGTTTGGAAAACAAATGTAGAAGGCGTGTGTTAATACCTGAAAATAAGGTAATCTTTATGCAAGCAGACTGCCACATCTTTTTCCTGAGCAGTGGCTGGTGGGTTCAAATCACCATCCTTTCGGTTAGCAGTCGAGTGCTTTAACCACTGCGCCACCAGAGCTTACAAAGCCTAGAAATGTTTTCTGTCGGGCCCTTTGGAGAAGTTGCAGACCCTTGTTCTAAAGCATCCTTGGAGCTTTGCATTGTCTTACAGAGGAGGCAGAGTGAACCTAGGTAATAGCAGAGAGAAGTGCTTAGGATGGAAATAAATGCCACACTCCAGAGCAGCCCTGTCAATTTAACTTTCTACACTGATGGGAAAGTTCTGAATCTGTGTTGCTGGATATGGTAGCCACTTGCCACATGTATGGCTGACCCCCATTTTTGTCTGTATTTCCCTGTGCTGTGTTACTTTGGTGCTGAGTGTTCAATCTGGAACCATGACACAATCTTGTAGACCAGCCAGGTTACCTCACCAATCCTGAAGCCCCTAACTTTGGGCACTTTAGTCTTTATTGCCTCACTATTAAGATAGAACTGGGAGTTGCACAAACCTAGAATAAGCTCCACGGGTCAGCTGTTCCCCCTGCTCTCTTTCACCTGTCTTCTGTTTCCTCCTTTGTAAAGTAGGGGTTTCAATACCAACCTTGCAGGATTGTGATGGGAAGAGAATATATAAATATTAAGTATCTGGAACTTGACAGATTGTAGATGATGTTAGAATGATTTGGCCCAGGTAACAGCTTCCAGGTTGGAACCCAGGACTTTAACCTGCCTGAGTCTGAAGCCTGTGTTCCCAGTTCTGCCTGTGACTGAAGTGGAGAAGCAGGGCTGAGAAGCTGAATTTTTGACGGTAAGGCTCGGTTCATCACAGGCGCTGTTTTAGACTCTGGTCTACAACAGTGATGAAGATCTACCCTCAAGGGCTCCAGTTGGTTTTGCATTAAGCATATATACAGTTTAAGAAGCGCCGGTGGCAAGAGACACTGCAGATGATTGAAAGCCCAGTGCCTCACCATAATGCCCCAGTTCGGTGAGTTGTGGATTTAAATTGCTAGGTGGGGTCTCAATCCCAGAGAATGAGATGGGATGAGAGATTAGGTATTGGGGCTCACCTTAGTCTGATTCCTCGAGTCACAAGGTGAGGAGGAGTGAACATGCAGTGGGAGGGAAGATCAGGTTCAACAAGTCAGGTGAGTAATACACCTAGTGAAGGTGTAGGTTAGGTCCTGTGGCTTGAGAAGGCTCTAAGGCTGGGTTTGGAAGCACCTGTGTGGGGGATGGAACAAGAAGCAGTGGGGTCCCATTGTAGGTTGGACATCATGGCGTCGTCTTGAAGCCAGTTATGATTTGCAACCCGAGCTCAGCAGCTTGCAAACTGGAGCAGTAAAGAAAGGGTGGCGGGGTTTACCCAACGCTGGAATTTGACAGCCCAAGTTGCCCACAGTCCTCGTTGAATGCCTGTGAATAAATGGATGAGACCTAAGTAAGTTGTCAGCTTTCACCCTTGTCTTCAGGCAGGCACCCAAAGATGGGCTCGGCAGTTCTCCCATCTTTCAGATGAGGCAGTTGAGGCCAGGAGCGTTAGGGGACGGCGAAGCGCAGACGGGGGAATTTGTTGGGTGCAGACCCAGCCCCGGCGCGCGATAGGAGTGGCTTGGGCTCTGGAAGGGCCGCCGATTGCACAGCGGCTGCCCAGAGCCCCGTTCCCCTGACACTCCAGGCACCTCAGGGAAGATGCAGTCCATACCCTTTTCCACCAGCCAGAGGCAAACACCGCCGTTTCCAGCAGGCTCTGCTGCTGGCCTCCAGCACGCACGCTCTGGCCGAGGGCAGTGGGCCCCAATCAGGTGTCTCCTGTTGTTAGTGAAAAAGGCTCAACATCCGGGCACCTCGTAACCGACTTCAGCCGCCGAACTGCGACGAAGGCCCCGGCGTCCGAGCAACCGCCCGCGTCGAGCAACGAAGCCCCGCCCCCGCCCTCGCTGATTGGAGGGCGACGTGAGCGCCGGCGTGCGATTGGTAGGCGGTGTCACAAAGGGCGGGGAGGCGGGTGCCTTCGGAGCGACGCTCGCGGGGCAGTGCCTCCTTGTTGGCCTGCGGGAGGGCGAGCGAGTGAGCTGACCCGACAGCCGGTAGGGCGAGCGAGCGGGCGAGGTCCTGCTTCCTCCTGCGCCGGACCGGATGAGGAGGACTCCTGGGGCGGCGGGACGCTGAGTCAGGCCGCGCTGCCGCCGCCGCCGCCTTCTCGGGA